GAAGGGTGCCCAAATGAAGAATGGGGAAAATGTGTAAATGGGCCACTGTTTGCGTTTCATTGGTTTTTAAAAGAATTAGAATTTGGAAAAATAATCCTTTGTCCACGTCACTCTGTCAGGAAGCCGGTCAAACCCCAATGTTAAAGTAGCATTATTGATTCGTCAAAGTAGTTTACTCTTGTAAATATGTATATGTTATATAAATTTAATATTAACCATTCAAATCTCTTACAATTTTGTTCTCAATCCTTCTTAATAACTGGGTCACTTTGATAAATTAGCATGATTCATTCAAATGGCGGTTTCGATCCATTAATCCATAATTTAATTTTACAAAAATTTGAAAAGGCAAAATAGTCATTTCATTATACATATTATTTTTAAAAAAAATGAAAATAAAGAAGGAAATTAAAAAATAAATAAATTTGATTTATGTCACGAAATAGCGATCTAATTCATCACTTTCCTTCCAATTATAATTCCCTTCAGTTATAAATTCTATTTAGTAGCTTATATAAATGAATTAGAGGATGAAATGATAATATAATTACCGTGCTACATAGACAATGTTAGTGGTATGGTTAAAAAAACAAGACGACAAGTGATAGCATTTCATTAAAAAGTTAGGGAAAAGAAATACCCATACAAAAGCCCTTATCATTGACCCTGACCTTCCAACAAGCAAAATAGAAGTTGACCACAAAACAATCTCTATCTCTATCGGAGGTTGCTACCCATATAGATGCTATAACAAAACTTAGTAAGAAAATATCACGAGAAATCTATGAAGCCTAATAATTCTTTCACAAAATAATCCATCTTTTTCAGGTTTATTGGTTTTGTAATGAAAAGTACATGGTTTTGTCATTCTCTTGGTTTCACCTAGGATTCTTGCTAAAGAAACCTAGTTCCATATAAAAAGGTATTCGTATAGTTATCTGTAGACAATCATGACATAGGGTACACATATCGCGAATCCAGCTCCAATTACCATTCTCCCCACACACTTGGAAACCCGAGATTTCTCCATTAGCCACTTCCAGATTTCATAGTAGCAAAAAGCAACAAAGAGAATCGTCGAACACGCTGCTATAAGTGTACATAACGATATCAGCTCAGTCATTTCATGAATTTAGGGATGCACTGAATTTTTTATGGCCCTACATCCACAAATTAAGCAAGAAATGTTATGTCGGCCTATATATATATGTGGTAAAAGGGTTGTTTGAACAAGAAACAAACAAAAACAAAGTTTAATCCGTATGAGCGTGATTAAACACAATAAATATGGGGTTTTAAATGTAGTGTGTGAATTATAAACGAAAAAATAGAAATAAAACTAAGAAAGTAAGAAGAAGAAAAGAACAAGCCGAGGCAAATGAATTTCACTCTTTCCTTAAGATAAAATTGCCTCATTATGGTGCTAACAATTCATGGTACTTGTCTCCCAAGATACAATGAATTCAACTTGTGGTAAAAGCACTTTAAACTACAAGTTACAGCAAACTTTTGTTGGAGTTTCTCTCTACAAGAAGAAAAGGGATTTTGAATGAATTTGGGAGAGGTTTTGCAAGAGTTCTATGTAATGCTTGATGCAAGTATGATATGGGATGCCTAATGGATGTCCAAGGGATCCTATTTATAGATGATGATAGGTTTTGGGCAAATTGTTGCATGCCAAACCTTGCAAAATTTTGAACAAAAGCATCACTTGCTGTAGCTGATCTCGCTCGAGCGTCAGTGTCAAAATATTTACAAAGAGTTTTTCGCCAATGTCAGTCCCGTCGCTTGAATGATAGGCGAGTGACGAAGTTAGACAATTTTTCTGGCCAGCTTTCCTCT